TTACCCTAGCCTTGATGAGGTAATGGCGTTAACCAGCGGCTAGGTTTCCTTTACCAGTGGTTTTGTTACCCTAGCCGGTGGTTTTGTTACCCTAGCCAGTGGTTTTGTTACCCTAGCCAGTGGTTTTGTTACCCTAGCCTTGATGAGGTAATGGCGTTAACCAGCGGCTAAGGTTTCCTTTACCAGTGGTTTTGTTACCCTAGCCAGCGGTTTTGTTACCCTAGCCAGTGGTTTGGTTACCCTAGCCAGTGGTTTGGTTACCCTGGTGAGAGGAGTAGAAGGCTAACCAGCTTGGTTACCCTAACCCGTGGTGTGGTTGCCTTGATGAGGGGATGAGGTTAACCAGCGGTTTGGATTTCTTAACCAGTGGTTTGGTTGCGCTAACCAGCTGTTCGGTTATTTAATAATCGGTCTGGTTTGCCTTATCAAGGGTTTTGGTTGCCCCAACCTGGGGTTTGCTTAACCTGACCACTTGTTTGGTTACCCTCGCCTGTGGTTTGATTAACCTAACCAGGTGTCTGGTTATCGAATCAGTTTGGTTGGGCAGTTGTTTGCCAGTTGTGGTAAAGTGTGGTGAAGTGTGGTAATGGTAAATCTCTCTCATCTTGTTGGTCACAGATATAGGTGGGGAACTTGGCTGGCGAGTGGAGTGCTTGGTTTGTGTTTGTGTTTGGCTTTGGGTGCAATCTGGATTCACTAAAGGGGAAGGTTCTGGAGCAATGAGGTTGCCTTTCCTTAAACAGCAGGGGCCCTTGCCAAGGGATTAGGAGGGGGGGGGGGGGGGGGGGGGGGGGGGGGGGGGGGGGGGGGGGGGGGGGGGGGGGGGGGGGGGGGGGGTAGGAACCAAGGAAGGGGTTCATTTCAGCCAGGCAGTGGAGGCGGAGTCTCTGGAGAGATATAGCAAGGGGGGGTTTCATTTCAGCCAGGCAAGGGTGGTGTTCATTTCAGCCAGGCAGTGGAGGTTTTACAAAATCAAGGGTGGTTTTCATTTGAGCAAGGCGTTGGTGGTTAGCAGGGGGGGGGAGGAGGGGAAGCGGAAGTTTCTGGAGACATCAAGGAGGGGTGGTAAGAAGGAACTGCGTGCCGTTTCCACAGAGAGCCATGGTGGCCCAAGATAAGGCGGGAGAAGATGAAACTGCGACAGCTGAGCTGGCTGATCCCGCGGCTGCTTCAAAAGACAGCCCTGAGAAGGATGACAAGAACCTTGCTATGTGGAAGCTCTTGGTAAGATGTGCATAAGATGGAACCAAAAAAAAAAGATGTGGATAAGATGTGGATAAGATGGAAAAAATAAAAAAAGATGTGGGTGAAAAAAAAAAGGAATTGCCATCTGGCCTAGCTCAGTTGGTACACCCCTGAACTGTTAAAATACAGACCTACCCGAGTTTGAACCCCGCTACTGGAAGCAGATGAGTGAAATTATTATACTACAATGCTGAATTATCTAGGGCCGGTCAGTTGCATGATAATATTTCAACGCCATATCCCTTTTTATTATAATAATATATTTAAATTTAAAGAAAGAGATTTGGATAAGATGGGGAAAAAAAAAGATGTGGATAAGGTGGGAAAAAAAAAGATGTGGGTGAGAAAAAGAGATGTACAATATGGCCTAGCTTCAGTTGGTACATCCCTGAACGCCTGAAGTGTTAAAATAGTAATTATTAATTACAGACAGACCTGAGTTCAAACCCCACTACTGGAAAGCAGATGAGTGAAATTATACTACAACTCTGAATCATCTACGGCCGGTCAGTTGCATGACCCTTCTTTTTTTTTTTTTTTTTTTTTTTCACAAGATCAATTTTTGTCAAARMAATGATCGGGGCTGTGGACCCCACAATTCAACCCCGGCGTATGGACAGCATCAGCCAGCTTAGCTTACATGCTTTCGCCTGCTGAAAGCCTGAAACGTACGGACAGCATCAGCCAGCTTAGCTTACACCTGCTGAATGCCTGAAACAGGCTTTCCAAAACACAACAAACATCACAGCAGTCGTTTCAGCCAAACCAGCAAGACTTACGTATAACCAGCTACGTACCAACGTACTGAACCACTACCCTACCTATTGCTAAAATTACATACTACCTTCTTCCCCGGAACAGAACGTGCGGTCATTTCTTCTGCATCTGGACTAAACGGTGAGCCGAATACGGCTATAATGACTGTACGTTCTATCCGGGGGAAGGCGGGAATCTACCTACCCTAGCTTCCTAATCTAGGCTTTTGCTAACTCACAGACCTAAACCGGTTTGACGCCGGCCTTCAGCAGCCGGTGGGCACTTATTCCAAGTCACACAATGGCACTCCCCACCCACCTCCCTTCTGTGTGACCTCCTGCGGTCCATGCTTCGAATGAAGATACCCTGGTTCGTGGAACAAACCAATCCACAAGGCCAGCAAACCAAACAAACCAGCAAAGCTAGCCTGCAATTAAGAAAAATAATCTGCCAAAGGCCTAAAACTGCGCACACCCTCATTTTGCCCGTACCGGACCGGAAATATAGCTTCTATACTTTCATGATCAGGGTGCGTTATGTTCGGGGGAAGACGGTAGTAAACAACCCCCAACTGCCTACCCAGTTAGTTCACCCCAGTGTCCACCCTGCCAATGCATACTCGTTCCCTCTATCCCTGTTCCACCCAGCCATTTCCACAGGGGCTAAACTTCCCTTTGGAGCGATCAGAGCCAGCTGCGCATTCAGGCACCAGGCAGGTGTTACGGAACCAGCGAAGTCCCAAGGTACGGTTCCCCTGGGACACTTTGCGGGACCAATCAGCCCAGCCCTTATAGCCCCCTTCCCTAAAATCTACAGAGCTCTGAACATGGCCTCTGCCTGTTTTGCCGGTAAAAGCCCTCCAGCCCTAAAAAAAATATCTCAGTTCATTTCGGTCTAGCCCGATTACCCTCAGCATAACGCGCCTGCCCACCCGAGCGATATACCCCCAGCCCTCTTAGCATTTGTAGCCTTGGGGTAGACCCCCCCCCCCCCCCCCCCCCCATAACACCCACCTCTTGGCCAACCAGGTCCGATCTTCCTGCGAACACCACCTCCACCTCTTCCTTGATCTAGGGGGCACTCCCACCAAAGGCGCCGCATTTTTTTTTGACTCCTGGGTACCTTGGCATCTGTCACAGATTCCGTAAGTCACCATTCCTTTTGCAATCAACCATTATGAGGTGGGAACAGAATAGGCGCGATTGAAGCCGAAGGAGTGAGGCGAGCTTCTGCGAGGGAATAGCCTGCTGTAGCTGGGACCGGAGCTTAGACAACTGAGACTCAGGAGGCGGAAGCTAAGTTAGGTGCCTCTCGGGCCCAGCGGGGAATAATTTTGCTGTGTACTGGGATTTGAGGACCAATTTACCAATTTTTTCACATTCTGGTTCTCCAGACTGGTGACCACTTCACCATCGGCGTGATCACTTCACCATCCACCTGCCAGCCCCACACAGCTGAGTCGATTCTCAGATGCTATGTCACCTCCAGGAAAGTTCACATGGACTGTGATTAGTAGTTGTCTTCAAAGTTTGCAATCAAGATAGATGTAAGCAAGTCCGCCTGTGTAAGCAAGTCTCGTACATGTATCCTAAGTGCGAGGGTCCCAACTTGCCGCAATTCTTTTATTCGTATCAATTCGACAGTTAATTACCAAAGTAGATGGGTGGAAACAATGAATCGGGTCTCCCTGCCCCCCCCCCCCCTCTCCGTCCTCCCCATCTCTGCGGTAAAGCCGGACCAGCTATGATATGACACAGATGGGTGGACACAATGAATCAGGTCTCCCTGCACCCCACCCCCCCCCGCGCCCCCCTCTGCGGTAAAGCCGGACCAGCTATGATATGCCACTGTAAGGTCGTGTAGCCCTGGGATTGGGCTGCTGCGTGCAATCGTCCGGGAGTCTGTGGCAGTGTCAATCATTTTACGGGCGCGTGAGTTTGACTCTTGTGCATTTGACCTTCCTTGGCCCTTCTCCCCCCCCCCCTCTTAAGGGTGACGGCCTTGAGATCTCATCAATGAACTGAACGGTCCCTGGGTTTCGGAAAGAAGGGGCTGTCGTGATGGCGGAAAACATAATGGGGCCTTACCTGGAAAGCGCAATGGGCTCTAGGAATGGCTCCATTTAGGAAAGCCCCCAATTATCCAATATTGACTGCAAAAGCTTCTTATTATTTGACCTGCTACCGGACATCATCCACCTGTCTTGGAACATTGCATCCAGACCTGCTTCCCTATTTGCGGCCAGATCTCCGTCCCCCGCGATTGCAAGACCTAGAGCCATGCCATTGTCAAACGTTGGATCACATGGATGGATATTCGGCCTTGCTCCACTACACAACAACAACATTCTGCATGTGTTGGAGCGGTGCCGTGGACCATATTCGTTCTGACATGTATTTATTCTGTTAGTTTTCCTTCCGAACTTGTATTTGGTCTCTTTTCCACTGACTGGAATTCCGACTTGCGCTCTGCGTCGTTTATTCTGACTACCGTCGAACACAATGCACCCTGATAGCGGATGTATACAAGCTACCTTTCCGGTCAGGTGCGTACAAAATGAGGTTGCGTTATGTTTGAGGGAAGACGGTTGTTCAGCCGCCACTCCAACTGCCCCTGCACTGTTCATTTTTCTTGTCTACAAGTACCGGGCCGAATCTACAGTGCCCGGGCCCGGTAGCTCCGTGGGGGATGGGTACCGTGACTCTTTTTCCTCACAGCGACACTGTAGAATGATTGATTTTTTTTTTATTAAAGCCGTCAAAAAAGCTTTCCGGTATAGAATATATAGAATAGCCAACACAATTTCGTTGTCGGAAATGCAACCTTTTGTTTGTCGAAATAGAGACCCCAATTTAGAGTGGTGGGGTTTAAAGGGGGTTTGTTCTGACGTATGTCTGACTTGTGTTCTCGACTTGTTCTCTCTGTTTCCCACTGACTGGTATTCTGACTTGTATTGTCTGTTCTTGGTTCTCTCCTTTGTGCTTCGGTTTGCGCCTGATTGGTTGATGCATCAGCGTGGGCCAAGGTACTTTGATCCTCAAGATTTTATGGAGGCGAGGTGCTACAACTGCGGAGAACGCGGCCATTCGTCGAAGGAGTGCACGGAACAGAAGAGGATCAGGCCGTGCTATGTGTGCAGCTCGCTCGAGCATGAAGCACGAGATTGCCCTCTGGTGTGTGTTGAGACTCCTGATCGAAACTGCAGATTTTCATCATATTTTCTCTGCTCCCTCTTCTTCTGTCTTCCTTCTTCCTCTGAACACAATGCACTCCATTTTTTTTTTCTGCAAGTACACAAGCTATCTTTCTGGTCCGGTACGGTCATGAGTTGGGCGCATTGTGATGGGGGGAAGATGGTAGTCCTGTCATCACCGAGGTCGGGTTGCGTTGTTGTTCGGCGAATCTCAGTGAACCGTCTGAACTCCTTAGTCTTTTGATGATCGTGTATGTGGCTCTATTGTCTTCCCCCGAAATGCGATGCGATGATGGCCGAAATGCGATGCGATGATGGCTCATCATCTGCTTACCATTATATAGTGGATGTATACAATCTATCTTTCCCGTTGGGTGCAGCAGGGATAACGAGGGTGCGTTGGTGTTGGGGGAAGACAGTAGGGTACCGGACTGGCCACGCAGGTGTGGGGAAACTTGCTCGAGGAAACTGGGCGGGTCAGAAATGGGATAAGAAATTGCCAAGGTTCACCCAAAATAATAGAAAGCCCGGTCATTGTCGCTGCATCTGGACTGAAAAATGGCCCAAATACAGCTAAATTGAACGGGCGTTCTATTCGGGTGAAGACGGTAGCCCAGTCGGATGAGCTTGCAAGTATCGAACAGAGGCCCTGGGTTCGATTCCAGTACGCAGCTGTAGGAGCAGGCAGTGAATGTTGGAAGAAATTGCCGAGATAGCTTTCTCAGGGGTATAGCTAAGGGCCTCGCCACACTCTGTCAAACTGAAAAATGTACCCAGTGCATCTCCCCTGGAAAGTGGCAAGATGCATCCGTTGCTATAAATAGTCATCGATGCATCTGGCCATTTCCCCTGGAAGATGCACTTGTACTTTTTTGCGTTCCAACAGTGGGGTGGTGAGACCCTAACTCTGTGTGACATGGCGAGTTCTATGCACACACTTTTCACAGGGATATCGCTAACTCTGGGCGACATGGCGAGTCCTTATCGGTCAGTCAAATGCATCCTGGGCAGACTGTTGGGGTTCAACCTTCAGATGAGTCGCTGCAAGTCTGACGAAACAGTCTTGC